ATGCCCAAATCGTATTTTTAATCATATCTCATTTTTTTTCAAATGAAACGAGGGTGGCTCAATAGCATATTTGGAAAAAGCATTTTTTACGAATAATTTGGTACCACACACTTGGTATTTCGTGTCAAATTGTCGTTATGAACCGCAAGTTACAATTTCAAATAAACCATATGCGAAAATGTCAAAAGTTGACATGTTATATGTCATTCTATTCAGAAAAATACGGAGAGTGCCATTTAAAAATCAAAAGTTGTAGTAGTTTCCTGTGAACAGGAAGTGGCCGAAAAGAATTGAATATGAATCGATCCTAATTTATGTCATATACTAACATACCAAATCTCCTTTTTTTATTTGTAAAAAAATAAAAAGTTATAGAGTGAACCGGTTTTGAGACGCACCCGGTATACATTCCCATTTCGTGATCCTCGTAAATAAAATTTCATTCAACATACCGAGTCTATAAAAATAGCCTATAGTCTATAAAATAATTTTATACGATTAATTTTAACTTTCCGACCATACACACATGGCCAAAATTATGGCACAGATATGGCTCATACTAATGTTTTTATTTTGATTTCGATCTATTTTAATTAATTGTGTTCTAATAAGTTTAGGCATATTTTTGTAAAAAAAAATAATAAAAGTCGAAAGTTATACATATTTAAATGCTACTTTTTCCGGCTTTACTCTTACTTGATATAAACTATTTTTTTATAAATGGGACATCCTATATATTTCAAGTGTGATGTGCACGAAAATCTTCTGTAAAACTACAATAGAACAATTCGATAATCGTAATAGTATATTAAACAACGAGTTTCGAAAACGACGTTTTGCCTACGAGTTCGACAGTTTGTTGGCTCGAGTCGCAGGCAAGAGCCACAAGTCGAACAAGTGTACAAAGAAGTTTTCGAACGAGTTTTTTACGCTATTTTTTCTACGACTACAAATTAGCAGCAGACTCACTCAGTTTTTGTCAGTTTTGTGAAATAATTTGCGATGTAATGATGACACTTTTCTGACGGCTGCGTTGCGTTTGGCGTTTCAGCTAAACATTGGAGGTTAAAAGTGTTAAAATTGGCACATGTCGTGCGCAAAATGACACATGTCGTGCGCTAAATCCTTAGCACAAAACAGTTTGCAACACGCCAATTTCAGATCCATTTTTCCGTGTATCAAACTGCATTTTCTAGGCTAGTAGAAAAAGTATTTTTTTTAATAATATCATTCAACTTTCGGATCAGACAACAACACTCAAATCCTCGTATCTAGTTTTTTACAGGGTGGTCCATTACTGCGAGGAAATCCTCATCAATTCGTCGTTGTTGCCAAAGATTTGACACAACAAATTCGGTATATTTTTACTTTATTTTATTCGATAGAAAATTACACTTTCTGAATAGAATGACATATGTCAATTTTTGACATTTTCGCTTAAAAAATCGTATTTTAGATTTCAATCTAGAGTGCTCTGTGGCTGTGTTAAATACATTAATTTTTAATCAAGGAGCCTTGGAAAATTAGATTTGATCGTCTAATGTTTATTGTGTCTTGTCCTGGCCGTTTAAAAGATGCCCAAATCGTATTTTTAATCATATATCTCAATTTTTTCAAACGGAACGAGGATGGCTCATTAGCATATTTGGAAAAAGCATTTTTTACGAATAATTTGGTACCACACACTTGGTATTTTCAGTCAAATTGTCGTTATGAACCTCATGTTTTTCAACCTCACAATTTGAAATAAACCATACGCGAAAATGTCAAAAGTTGATATATATGTCATTCTATTCAGAGTATCATTTTCTATCAAATAAAGTTAAAAAAATACCGAGGGTGTTATTTAAAAATCAAAAATTGTAGTAATTTCCGGTGAAACAGGAAGTGACCAAAAACAATTGAATACGTCAATCAATCCTACTTTATGTCTTATACTAACATACCAAATCTACCAAATCTGAAAAAATAAGAAAGTTATAGGGGTGAGCCTACTTTTGAGACGCAACATTAGACAACATTTGAGACAAACTTTAAATACAAAAAATGTTCGTTTTATAATTCTACATTCTAAAAATAATATACCCTGTATATTATTATATTACTATTAGTGCAAGAAAATCTGAGCTTTTACTTCCCCCTGATTTGAACCTACGCCCTTTTACTTGGATCTACGTCTCTTTCATTCCATATATGCACATGTACAGGGTGGCTCGAATTCGACGCTCATCATTGGAATTTCGGAAACAGGAGATACAGGATCGTTTAAATGGAGGCAAAGTTTTTTTTTTGCATAAAATATTCTGGTGATGGAATTTTCTGTACGAAGCGTCGTCGGCAAATATCAAAGTGACTATATATAGTGTTTTAAGAGTGATGAAAGGATTTAATTAAATTGAAAAAAAATATCAGGTCCGTAATCACACAGAGTCATAGAGCAGAAAAAGTGGCCATGAAAATGTGTTTTTCATTTTAAGTTATCTTAACAAATAAAGCCAGGAAACAATAGAAAACAAAATTGAAAATTCGTTTTTTTTTCGAATATATTCGGAAGTATTCGGGATTTTTCAAAATGCAATACGGCATTTTATTGAGCATCAAATTGCGCAACTTTGCCTCCATTTAACCGATCCTGTATCTCTTACGGTTTCCGAAATCCCAATGATGAGCGTCGAATTCGAGCCACCCTGTACTTATTATTTATTTCAAACATAAACAAATAGGTGTAATTTTCTAACTATAACTTAAAGTACTTACTTGACTGTAATTTTATCCCAATCACAATATCTGTTGTCCATACACAAAGCTTTTAATATCGTCGCCAATACACGAAAACACTAGGGTTTAGACAAAAAACACTGCTCACTGGCCGGGTTTTGTACACTGAACTGAACTTATCTTTATGAGTTTTTGCATTACATAAAAGACAGAAATTTTTATTTACAATCATTCTCAATACATTTGTTACATAATATGAATTTCTAAAAGCTCCCACACACGCCCAGTTTTATCACTCAGGCCGCCTGTGCAAACCTTGTATTGCCTATGATTAAGGCTTATTATATTTATATTTATTAGGTGCCTACAGTGCTTTCCATAAAATCAATAAAATTAAAAATATACGAAATAATATACATGTACTGATTTCTTTCGAAACTCGACAACTATGAAACTATGATCCCTTCCCCGACACAAACGGTACATTGTGAGACAGGAAATTGTAGAGAGAAACAAACCCTATAACATAGGATACAACATTTTAATGAACAGTGCTTTCCATAAAATCAATAAAATGAAAAATATACGAAATAATATACATGTACTGATTTCTTTCGAAAATTGACCAACTATGAAACTATGAACCTTTCCCCGACACAAACGGTACATTGTGAGACAGGAAATTGTAGAGAGAAAGAAGCCCTATAACACAGGATATAACATTTTAATGAACAGTGCTTTCCATAAAATGAATAATGAAAAATATACGAAATAATATACATGTACTGATTTCTTTCGAAAATCGACAACTATGAAACTATAATCCCTTCCCCGACACAAACGGTACATTGTGAGACAGGAAATTGTAGAGAGAAACAAGCCCTATAACATAGGATACAACATTTTAATGAACAGTGCTTTCCATAAAATGAATAATGAAAAATATACGAAATAATATACATGTACTGATTTCTTTCGAAAATTGACCAACTATGAAACTATGAACCTTTCCCCGACACAAACGGTACATTGTGAGACAGGAAATTGTAGAGAGAAAGAAGCCCTATAACACAGGATATAACATTTTAATGAACAGTGCTTTCCATAAAATGAATAATGAAAAATATACGAAATAATATACATGTACTGATTTCTTTCGAAAATTGACCAACTATGAAACTATGAACCTTTCCCCGACACAAACGGTACATTGTGAGACAGGAAATTGTAGAGAGAAAGAAGCCCTATAACACAGGATATAACATTTTAATGAACAGTGCTTTCCATAAAATGAATAATGAAAAATATACGAAATAATATACATGTACTGATTTCTTTCGAAAATCGACAACTATGAAACTATAATCCCTTCCCCGACACAAACGGTACATTGTGAGACAGGAAATTGTAGAGAGAAACAAGCCCTATAACATAGGATACAACATTTTAATGAACAGTGCTTTCCATAAAATCAATAAGCAATAACCCAATAACCTAATAATTGGCTTGTATAATGTACAGGGTGAGTCTGAAATAAGTGCAAATATTTTTAAGGGTAGTATTTCGCGAAAACAAAAAATTGAAAATTTGGAATTTTTTGAAAAAGATTTTTGGATTTTTTTTAGTTAAAAAACATAACTTCTTGATAATATGGCAACATAGATAGTAGATTAAATTTACAAGAAAGAAAACCCAGAAATAATAGAAGTGTCTAGCCCCAGCAAGAAACTATTAAGCTTGACCAATCAGGTTGGTTAGCGTGGTTATTTGGAGGGTGTTAATTCATTTGTGTTTGGTCAAAAACTCTAACGTGATTGGTCGGGCTTAATAGTTGCCTGCTGGGGCTAGACACAAGTGAAATAATCCAGTTGTTCTCAAAATTTAAACAAAAATTTTTTTTTATAATTTTCAAAGTAAAATATCTCGATTATTTTGAATTTATTTGAAAAACAGTAAAGAGAAAATATGTTTATTTTATCGAGATCTACCAGCCCTGAAAATATTTACACTTTAAGAGTCACCCTGTATAAAACTTTTTATTTCATATTTTCGTCAACAACGATATAGTACTTCCTCGCACTATTAGGTACTAATGAGCCACCCTGTACGCCTTTTTATTAATTGAAACCTGCACGCGCTTTCCCATTCATATTTTCCTCGGAAAACCGGAATTTCCCGAGGCGCCGGCAGCGCCGTCACTCAGTCAGTTGTCCGAATCGATAGCTGCGCACGCGCACCGACACAACCCCACCTCTGTACCGAGGAAAATCCACCGAAAAAAACGGGCACAACTATGATGAAAATTTAGCTGCAACTATTCAATCGACCGCATTTTCCGATCGGCCAGAGTGAAAATACGCGAGGAAACGCTAAAAACTCGACTCCGTATCGGTTTTTCCAAGTTTTGTGGTTGTTTTTCCGGTAAAAGAAGTGTCGGTATACGCAAAACGAGCACGAGTTTGTGCGAATCGATTTGAAATCGAGAAAAATAAATGTGGAGTAGTTGTTTTTCGGAAAAAATCGTCATGGGGAGATAACAAAGAGAAAATCTAAGGGGAGATGTCGCAAAATGATAGGATACAACAATTACAATCAGGGCTACAATAAGTTGTTTACTCAGGTGAGGTTTGTAGGAAAAACATGAGTTTTTAAACCTATAATATAAACCTTTTTTTTTAAATTAAACTATAAATATTTTACCACAGAGAACTGTCAAATGTGCTATTAAATATTTACATTTTGTATACTTATATTCTGCAACGAAAAACATGATCCTATTATGTTGCGCAAGAAAAATGTCCATGTTTTGGAGTTGTTATTTGGTAATTCCAAGGTATTTCTAATATCGTTTACAAAATAATTCAGCAGAAGTATTTAAAATGGGTCAAATATAAGTTTGATCTTTTTTAAATGCTCAAAGAATAGCAAAATTGCGTTAGAAATAGGTACTTTTTTAGGTACTTTTTTTTGTATATTTTCGTACTTTTGTCCTTTGGCGTGAAAGTGCTTTACTTTTATCTTGCCTAGGCGTTAAAATGACTTAATCTGCGACAATGTCATTATGACACATTTAACATTGTCATTTGGATGTCATTATGGCTTTCATAATAGCACGCAAATTTTAAAATAAGAAACAAGCAAAAAAAGGTACCTAAATACATTTATTTGTTGTAAATTTTAATTATAATATCAGTACAATTTGTTAAATTAATTCCAGACGATGACAGGTGAGTTGAATTTTTAGAAAGTAAATTTATTTCCTGAGCGCTTGAACTTGTTGAAGACCCATCATTGTCAGAAATGTTACCCAAAATATTACATGACACTTTTTTCTTTTTTTGGAATTTTCTATATAACTCTCTGCCACTGTGTTAGAGCGCCAACCACCATGTCTTTTAACAGTTAATAAATCCACTCCTGAATCTGCAAGCAACGACGCAGACGATCTACGTAAACAATGTCCAGTGTATTATTGTGGATTTGGAAGACTTAGAAACAATGCTATTTTATCCGGCATTTTCCCTAAAGTATTAATGCCAACGGGTTGCTTAATACATTTTCCATTTCTGTACCCCACAAAAAATCGAGTATGCTCTGTGTTGCTTGGCCGCATAGCTATATATCTTCGAACCATTTCCACCATATTTATTCCTTCAACATTCCCTTTCGTTATAAAAAAATCTCGTGATATCGTTGTTTTCGTAAATGGAATAATGACATGAATGCATTGTCCTTCATCTTTAACATTTTGCAGCTGTAGATTTGTCAACTCGATACGCCGGCAGGCTCCCGCAAGTCCCACTATCAATGAAACTTTTGTCAGGAAATAAGTTTTATCATCAGCTTCCAACAATAAACGAGTTATGTCTTCTTTTCTTAAAATTCTCGATTTTTTTGACCGAAATCTTTCCGATTTTCTTTTTTGAAATGCAATTAAATGGACGTACTTACTAATATCTGTATTTTTCTTCACTGATATAAGTGAACGTAGCATGGAATAATATACCCAAACTGATGAAGCCTTCCTATGTTTTGAAAGATATTCAAAATATGCCAGGAGAACCTTTTCGTTACTACTATTCTTGATACCTTTCCCTTTACACCAATCTTCATGTTTTACATAGGCTTACTCGTACGTTTGTCTTGATTTTTCCGGAAGTAGGGAATCGACACCGTTTTACGCAATGCCTTCAATATCCGAAGGGACACTTTCAGAATCAGAATCACCCATATTAATATTATTTTTTGCTTTTTGCTAAAACTGAACGTTTAACACAAAATTGAACATCAATAATTGTGTTGCCAAAGTCAAAATGGAAATAATCAACAAGCACGGTTACCACGGCGTCGACTAATACGGGCACCTGATAATTTTGAATTTTAATTTTTATGAGGATATCTCTGATATTTTAAATTAAATCAAATCTCTTTGGATCGTCCCTCGTGTCGCGTCGTAGATTAAATTTTGAATGATACACGTTCGGTACGAACTTTTTAATGAAACTTGTGTAACTAAGCCACGAGGCGTTAGCCGAGTGGCTTAACGTTACACGCGTTTCATTATGATGTTCGTATCGAACTTGTATCATTAATAACTATTTTTGTATTGTCAATCACTTCGAACAAACTAATATTTTTGTGACGTTTGATAAAAAAAGTATGTAGTTTTTTTTGTAGTTGGGCTTATTGTTGCCTATTGTTGGCTATGCAGGTTCAAGTTATCCCTGCTAATTTCCTAATATCATGGTCCCATCTCAGTCTTCTTCTAGGTCTTTTAATTCCTCATGGGTGCCATGCTGTAATTTTTGTGGTCCATCTGTTGTCCGTCCTTCTTGCCAGGTGTCCTGCCCACTTGCACTTGAGGGATTTTATTCTGTGGATGATATCTATTACCTGGGTCTTTTGTCGTATCCACTCTATCCTTTTACGGTCTTCTTTTGGTATATCCCCGCATAATTTCGTTCCATTCAGCGTTGTGCGACCTGCAGTTTCCTTATAATATTCGTTTTAAGTGTCCAGGTTTCGCAGCCATAGGTCATGACTGGTAGTACACATTGGTCGAATGTTTTCTTCTTTAGATAAAGTGGCATTCTATATTTGAATATGATTGTGTTTATTCTATAAGTACTCCATGCTAACTTAATTCTTCTGTTGATTTTTGGTAGTAGAGATCCCGATCTGTGTATGTGTAATATAGTACATATAAATACCTCTATTTACATATTATATTTAAAAGATAAATCCGTATACATTATATTCATGTATCAAGTACAGCTATGTTTCAATTATCCTGTGCTTTATATTGAAGTGGTTTAAATTAAATTTTAAACTCAATCAGTTTGAAATTATCGATCAGCTCTTGTCATTGAAAACGCTAATTCAGTTAATCTAATTTTCGTTTGTGCTAACCATCTATTAATCGGCTGATATATGCCCGATATAACCGAATATAAACAAGTGTTTATCCCCAATTATATCCGCAATATTATGAAGAATTTCTGGAAAAAAATTCGGGAATCTGATAAACGACAATTACTTGTAAGTTTTGTCATAGTATTCTGAAATATGTAGGTACTGACATAATGTTGACATTATTACTTCCCAAGTAGCATTTTTGGACATATTTTAGGTTAGGTAATGTTTCTAATAATCGTGTCTGTTTCTTGACACAAAACGGAAACGGTATGCTACAAATAGGAAACATTTTCGAAACCTATATATTTTATATGGCTATTACGTGTGTTTCCAATGTGCTGGCACTAACCGTTTCCTGAAATGATTTGATGTGTGTCCAAGATGTTCCCGCTTAGCAGCTACTGTTTCTAAATGTGAAGAAAGAACATACCAAATTAAAATACTCTAAGTCTGTGTGTGGATTTCAAAATGAAAACAACCATCAACAATGTCAACCTCCGGCATAATTTTTTTGTCTTAAGATCTTTGTTTCTAGGTTTTCTCGCACAAACAATGTCTGGTGTCCAAACCAAACCAAAAGCAAATTCATCGTTTAATATTTAATAATGTACTTTCATATTTTTAATGCCCCTTCTGTATATCATTATTTGTTGCTACAAAATATTTTTGTTTGAAAAATAGATTTTTATATTTATTTCTATATTATGGTTTTGAAAATAAAAATATATAAATTAATGTAAAGCGGCTCATACTACTCATAACATTATCAAACAAATTGCACAACACAGGCTGTTGCGCAACGAGTTGCCACTGTATGGTAACGTTTGATGCGTTGCGCAATTGTTTGATAAGTTTCATGAATGTTTGAATTCTTTTGTGCAACAGGCGTTTGCGCAGCGCGTTGTGTAGTGTATGTGTTGCGCTTCGTTGTGCAATATTTTAGTTCTTTTATCTAAATTCTTTGTTTTCTTTTTCGTTTTTTGGTATCATTGACATCATCTAGGCTATACGATAATAATTGACGCAATGGCAATTGAGGATATGATTGTTTCTCAAACAATGCACAACTTTTAATAAAAAGTTTGATCAAAATTTTACTGTGCATGGGTGATGCAGCTGTGCAACGGAACGTTGCGCATGGCTTTGTTGCGCAACTTCTTTGGTAGTGTATGGACCCCTGAATCAGTTGAGCAACGCAACGTTGCGCATCGCTTCGTTGCGCAATTTGTTTGATAATGTATGGCCCGCTTAAGTAGAACGCGTTCTTAAATGAGTTTAAAAGCTCAACAGCCGATAAAAACATATATATTTTTAATTAAAAACGCTATCACTAGCCAACATGGCGGAATAATAATTCATTATTTTATAAAATTGACATGAGTCGGCCACAAATCATCTGCATTATATCATATTTGTGTCTAAAAAGAGAAACTCGTATTTCGAAAATGAATCGAGAATAAATCAAAACCTTAATTCCAAAATATTTCGATTTAGCGCTATCTGTGTAGAAATTTCGAACTAGTAACCTGTCAACAACACCAGTGAAAACTTCTGGTCAAAATAATAAAAACATTTTTATTTACTTATTACATCACAATTAAAACATAAAAATCCATTGTGGAAAAAAGAGAAAAAAAAATGTTTGCTGGTAACATTTTTCTTCGGTCTCCTGTTGGGTATGGGCAGTGGCTCTTATTACAGTTATCCCTAAAACAAAAATCATGTATTGCGTATAATAAATTAATATAAAATCACAACCATATGTCCTTCCTTCTGCTTTTTTAATTATAGTACCATAAAAAACTTGAAGAATGCTTATATGCAAAAACTGCAGAACAAAATCCAAACAATAAAGTAAGGTTATGTTCTCATATTTGACAGAACATCAAATAAATTATGGAAACTTTTCAGGCACAAAACGTAAATGTCAGCCACATCTGTTTCTTAAAAGTTTCGAAAAATTTGTGACACTAAGATGTTTATTGTTATAGCTTATGTAGCCAAACCATATTTTGGTAAAATGTTTCGAAACAAAAAGCGATTTATGTTACGAAACATATGTATCATAAATGTGACGAAACTGTTTCGCAATTGGGTTAAACTATATACATAAATCTTACTGCTTAGAAGACGCTCCTCTAACATATGACTTCGTTTCTTTAGATTTGACCGCAAGTTACGCATTTGGAACGCATTTAACCTTGCCATCTTGTAATATAATCGCATGCTTGCGAGCACCATCTCTAATAACCTATGTCAAAATATACTACACTGGTAAGCTTACGTTCCCGAAAAATGCGATTGTTAATGTTCAGCAAGTAGTTGAGAGCAAAAATAACATAGATAGAACTGGATGTTTACTATAAAAAATTATTATAGTAGAAAGATGTTTGAACATTAATCATCATTTTGTATACCGTATCTGCAAATTTTCTCCCATATTTAGCATAAAATAAGATGAAAGAAACATCTTTAAGTTTTTAAGTTGGTAGATATCTCTGTTTTTGGATTAACTAGTTATGAACAAATGGAAGATCAAGACGAAAATTTTCTTGGTCTTGATCTTGCAGTCTAGTAAGTAAGTAGTCTTGGGCACGGTCTTGGTTTCGCAGGGTCCAGGTTTGGTATTGCTGCAAGACTCTGGCAAGTCTGGCACATTTTTAATAGATTTTTACTACAGGGTGTTTCAAAAAACATGTGCCATCTCTCGTGGAGACGTGCATATGGATTATCACTGGAATATTTTTCTAAAAAAAAGCATGTACACCACTGACCTTTCTTCTTCTCTTATTAGCTCTCTTTTAGCCGACCATACCTGTTGGTATGGTCGGCTAAAATTTGAGTAATAAATTAGCTCAAATATATGATTTATTAATTTTCTTTTTCTTTTAATTTTATTAATTGTGATTAATAATGAAAATTGCGTTTATCTCATCAAGCAGGCCGAATTCGACAAAATATCAAGAGATATTTTATATATTATGATATCACAATTTTGATATCATAAAAAAACACACACTTATGTTTTTTAAATATTCCAGTGATAACTCATATGCACGTCCCTGATGAATTTATCGACACTTTTTTAAAAAAAATTAAAATTAAAAAAATAAATCTTATTTTTACGTGAGTAATCTCCCCACTAGATATTGCACATATTTTTTGCAACACCCTGTAGAGGCATTTTCTGCATAATAAAACTTTAAATAAATTGTACTTTAAGTAATTTAATGAGATTTTATAGAAACAAAAATTGTCTGATGAAAATTTGTATTTTTTAAAATAACAATATATCCCCGGATTTTGAGAGAAATGCATTCTTTATAAGTGTTTTTGCTTGTTCTAAAATAATTAATCCCGTTTATAAATTTCCAAATTTTCATACCTATTTTGAGAGAAGTGAAATTAGAAAAATTGTATTGCATTTACTTATTTCATAACAAATTTGCAGCTTCGGTACTTATTTAAACGCAACCAGATTCAAGGAACTTAGTCGGAATGCCAGTTAGAAGTAGTATCACGTTCATGAATTAAATTATTTGTGTCATAGAATACTCTACTCGTATTAGAAATAGTTGCTTAGTTTACCTCCGGTATAAAACGTATACTAGATTATATAATTTTAGTGTTATAATGTATCGTTCTTTTTATAGTCGCCATATATGATCAAAGAAGTCAAGGGGCTAGTGAATAAAAATGGATATCTAATCTAAAAAAATAATTTTTAGTTTACCCATTTTTTTGGGTAGCAAATAAAAAATTGTTACATTTGTCTCAGTTGCTACAAAATAAACCAACATTGGTACTACTTAACTAGGTAGCTTAAGGTAGTTATCATACAAGAAAAGAACAAAATTTAACTTTTAATATTATTTTATCCTATGTAATAAATGCGGATACCAAATATACTTATTGCATAATTTATAAGCTTACGATTCGCAAATCTTCTTCGATCATGCATAGTATACAATTCATATTGACTGTATTATGCTAAGGCATGTAGTAGAATCATTATAATTGTATATATTTGCTTTATGTGGGACTATACTAGAGATCGACATTATTCTTAAAACGATTATAGAAAATTAATATTTTTTTACTACAGTGATAGATGGATGATTGTCCTTATTACAAAATGATTGATATTTAAATAACATACAAAATCAAAATATGTTGTTGCTCATTCCTCTGATGTAGTCCTTTCTTGATTCTTTAATAATAGATAGAGTATGATAGATCATAAATATCATGAATGAACATTTCATCAATCATCAAAGCTACATAGTTCTTAGAAAATAAGAGTAAACATATTACTCATCTACCGTATAATATCTTAGGTCATAATAGAGTTACTTGATATAATTGGTATATAACTTTTCAATTTAAACTGTTCCCCTATATATTGTAATATGTTGATTTGATGTTTGTATATTTTAAGATTATAAATTCCAGATATATCACCAATTCGATCGTTACCAATTTACTCTTGATAACGGTCAGTGAGATCCATCTGACGGAAACGTCGTATATGTTAAAATAAATAAAATAAATACAATGGATTTTTTTCTTTTAGTATCATCATCATCATCCTCAGCTTATTCAACCATTTCCAATTATGATGTAGCTTCCCTCGCATACTTAGATACTCTCTTTGTAGGTCCATTGTTGTCTATTGTTGGCTATACGGGTCCAAGTTATCCCTGCTAATTTCCTAATATCATGGTCCCATCTCAGGTTTGGTCTCCTTCTAGGTCTCCTAATTCCTCGTGTGTACCATGCTTTAATTTTTGTAGGCCATCTGTTGTCCGTCCTTCTTGACAGATCTCCTGCCCATTGCCAGTTGAGGAATTTCATTCTGAAAATTGTATTATCCTAAGTTAGATAATTTTTAACTACTTATGTTTTGGTGGTACTGTTAAAAGATTATTCTAGTACCCTGCCTCATTACTACATCATTATTTGTTTTATAACTACATACACAAAAAGCACAAATTTTTAGTAAGCTAAAAAAAGTATTAAATTTATGAATATATACATCTATCAACATATTGCATTAATTTGAAAGCGTTAATATTCTATTATTAACCTAAATACCTTTTTCTTTTCTAGGGCTCAGCTGATTCGAATTACTCACAGCCGTCGTCGGACCTGTCATTGGACGAGGAGAAAGAAAACCTACGCAGGGAGAAGGAGAGGGCAGCACTCAGTCAGCTGGAGAAAGCAAGGGTCAGTATCATGAAACTAAGTAAGCTCTAGTCACATCATAAAGCTAAGTTAGCTCTAGTCACATCATAAAGCTAAGTTAGTTGAGTTAACGTTGCATGTCAATCAACCTATATTCTGTTTTTCCCAATATTAAGAGGAACGCTGCGGTCTGTAAGGTCTATTGTGTAGCTCCGTCACGTTGGAACCCGCTTTATAGTAAACTTTTCGATTTTTGGCTTTTTATCAACTACAAACGATGCAATTGATTTTAGTAAATTCAATTTTTTTGTAGTACTAATAATTAGCTAGAAAGAAGTAAACAATTGAGCGCAATGTAAGAAAGAGAAAAAATATTGTTTTAACAAATGTCTAAAAATCTTCAAAATCGTTTGTAGTTTTATGTAGTAGCAAAAAACCCAATGAAAGTTTCTTGGAATTAGTGAATTATAGTAAAATTTGGAAATTAACATAGTTTGACATAATGTCTTTAGTTGTACACAAACTACAAACGATGCAATTGATTGTAGTAAATTCAATTTTTTGTAGTACTAATAATTAACCAGAAAAAAGTAAACAATTGAGCGCAATGTAAGAAAGAGAAAAAATATTGTTTTAACAAATGTCTAAAAATCTTCAAAATCGTTTGTAGTTTTATGTAGTAGCAAAAAAACCCAATGAAAGTTTCTTGGAATTAGTGAATTATAGTAAAATTTGAAAATTAACATAGTTTGACATAATGTCTTTAGTTGTACACAAACTACAAACGATGCAATTGATTGTAGTAAATTCAATTTTTTGTAGTACTAATAATTAGCCAGAAATAGTAAACAATTGAGCGCAATGTAATAAAGAGCAAAAATATTGTTTTAACAAATGTCTAAAAATCTTCAACATCGTTTGTAGTTTTATGTAGTAGCAAAAAAAACTCAATGAAAGTTTCTTGGAATTAGTGAATTATAGTAAAATTTGAAAATTAACATAGTTTGACATAATGTCTTTAGTTGTACACAAACTACAAACGATGCAATTGATTGTAGTAAATTCAATTTTTTTTGTAGTACTAATAATTAGCCAGAAATAGTAAACAATTGAGCGCAATGTAATAAAGAGCAAAAATATTGTTTTAACAAATGTCTAAAAATCTTCAAAATCGTTTGTAGTTTTATGTAGTAGCAAAAACCCAATGAAAGTTTCTTGGAATTAGTGAATTATAGTAAAATTTGAAAATTAACATAGTTTGACATAATGTCTTTAGTTGTACACAAACTACAAACGATGCAATTGATTGTAGTAAATTCAATTTTTTTTGTAGTACTAATAATTAGCCAGAAATAGTAAACAATTGAGCGCAATGTAATAAAGAGCAAAAATATTGTTTAAACAAATGTCTAAAAATGTTCAACATCGTTTGTAGTTTTATGTAGTAGCAAAAAAACCCAATGAAAGTTTCTTGGAATTAGTGAATTATAGTAAAATTTGAAAATTAACATAGTTTGACATAATGTCTTTAGTTGTACACAAACTACAAACCATGCAATTGATTGTAGTAAATTCAATTTTTTTTAGTACTAATAATTAGTCAGAAAAAGTAAACAACTGAGCGCAATGAAATAAGGAGAAAAAAATATTCTTTTCACAAATGGCTAAAAATCTTCAAAATCGTTTGTAGTTTTATGTAGAGGCAAAAAAAAACTCAATGAAAGTTTCTTGGAATTAGTGAATTATAGTAAAATTTGGAAATTAACATAGTTCGACATAATGTCTTTAGTTGTACACAAACTACAAACGATGCATCGTTTGTAGTTTGTGTTTGTAGTGTTGTTTTTTTTCTTGCATCCTGCATACGTGGCCAGACCATATTAAGCAGGATTTAGTAATCATGACTACAGCGCTCTCGCAGCTTGCTTTTTCAAGGACTGAGACATGGCGGTACCATTTTAGACACGTTTACACTAATACAGACAAAACACTCCAAAAATCTCCAAAACGTTCTCTATTTTGGAAACTCCAATTTCTAGGTTGTTTAAAATGGTAGAATCTCCGACAGTGGAAATCCGTCTTAACGAGAGGATAGATGACAGTTGTTGTCTCTCATTTTAATTCATAGATAAATTGAATTTTCTGTCTGGGTCTCACCCAATTAATTAATTCAAATATTCAAATTAATTACTGACAATTTTAATTAAGGTAAAAGACATAATAAATAAAAATACATGGATTGTAATTTATTTGTAGATTAAAGTAGTTTTTTGAGATGGCTATCGGCCTGTTCCACGGCGATCTTTGCAGATCTATTGTGGTCCTCTTCTGATCCTTTAGGTTACTTTCTCCACTTCTATGTAGAATGAGTGGGAGGGGGGGGAATCACTGCGACCTTAAAGTTCTATTGTGTCCTACTTCCTCGTGTATGAGGATTTTTCTGTTGTAGGAGGGACAGGGTATTTCACATTCTCCTCCGAGGGTATGACACACTTTTACGGTTGGGGTTTGGCCCTCCCTGCCCTTCACAGTCGGGCAGCTTGTCTCCTGCTGAGGTACCCGTGAAGTGGAGGCTGGAGGATTTCTCTCCATTTTCTCCACCTCTTTAACTTGGTCTCTTCTTAGACCTGATACCGGTGTCGTTCAAAATCTATAATAAACGATATATCCCTCTTTCTCTATTGCCTCCTTGGATTTGAGGCCAATTCCTATTGTGAGGACCTTCTCCAGTCCTAACCTTTTCGAAAAGTTTATTAATTTAGAGATTTAATCCTCCATATATCAAGTCAGTGGTTTATCATCGCTTAATACATAGACCCGCACATTTGCCCCACTGATAAAAAATATTTTCTGTCGTTTCTTCTTCAGATTGACAAACTCTGCTCATCTGTCAGCCACACACTCTCTTGGGGCCATTCTTGTAACTGCTTTTGTAGTACCGTAAAAGAGTTTTGGGTCTATAAATGTCATTGAAGAGCCTTGTTTTGCCTTTTTCATCTGCCTTTACCTTTGTGATCCTCTCACTCCAGTATCCAGGCTATACTTTCACTCAATTTGTATGTAAACACTATTTTGTAAAATATACACAATTTTCGTTATTTCAAACATGGAAAATTGATTACTGTATTGGACTTATTCCAAATAACCATACAAACAATAAACTTGGAAAAGTCGAAAATAAATTTTAAGTTTACATGAATTGGTTTTTAATACTTAGAAAGCTATGCTACAATAAAATCTAAAAACAGGAAAGAAGCTATTAAGTTCAGTTCAAAGCAATATTTCATTTTGCTGTGATCTTTAACAGAATTTCTTGGGTATTATTCATGGAGAAATATATTTAGAAACTACAATAATATAAGCATGCAACTCCATGTAGTTTTTAAAGTAACTGTTCATTAAAATGTTGTATCCTTTGTTATAGGGCCTGTTTCTCTCTACAAATCACTACATGTATATTATTTCGCATATTTGTCATTTTATTGATTTTATGCAAAGCACTGTTCATTAAAATGTTGTATCCTATGTTATAGGGCTTGTTTCTCTCTACAATTTCCTGTCTCACAATATACCGTTTGTGTCAGGGAAGGGATCACAGTTTCATAGTTGTCGATTTTCGAAAGAAATCAGTACATATATATTATATCGTATATTTTTCATTTTATTGATTTTATACAAAGCACTGTTCATTAAAATGTTGTATCGTATGTTATAGGGCTTGTTTCTCTCTACAATTTCCTGTCTCACAAAGTAACGTTTGTGTCGGGGAAGGGATCATAGTTTGGTTTGTAATAAATTAAAAAAGTTTATTTTATTCTTCTTAAAGCATTTATATAAATGCTGTTCTTTGAAAAACATAATGCCTAATATAGAATATTGGTACTCGGTACCTTAATATATTTAGATACATCATAATTTCATTTTTAAATATTCCCCAAATTGATTTAAAGATAAACTTCCTTGCACTCATTTTCATAATGAATTTCTCATTTTTCCTGACCATACGTTTTCCGTGAACACACTAAAGTGCGAAAAGTAGAAACGAAAATAAAATGAACGTAAATATTTATGTTTTCAGACGAAATCGGTAGCATTCGCCGTGAGGACCAACGTAGCGTACGACGGTAGTCTGGACGACGATTCACCAGTTCACGGTTACGCTATTTCCTTCGAAGTTAGAGATTTTTTACACATAAAGGTATGTATAACGATAATTTCTTATAAATCCCATAAAAGAAATGTTTTAAAGAAAGTTACCAATACTTAAATTCGCGGACATACAGGGTGGCGCCTCTCCAACGAGCAGAGACCATTCATTTCGAATTCCTCAATAAGTAATTGATGATTTACGACTTGGCAGCTATAAATATTGTTCAAAACATCGAAAATGCTGAGAAGCGTCTTCAACTTTTCCTTCGTATAATAAGAATAATGACATATTCATAGAAAAATAGGTTGACATCTTTGAATAAGAAGACTAAGGAAGGAGCATATCAAAAATCTTAGGTACACCGCGATGGGCCTCAAATATGGCCGACTTAAATTTCGGTTTATCAGTGTCGTTCTAATTTTACTTAAAAAATGTAAAACTATGATGTAGGGTAGACGTGGGGTAGACTCAATAATTTGTTGTTTTATTTTACGTTGTGAATAAATGTTGGTAGTTATTAAAATTGTTATAAAATATATAATTCTAATAAAAATAGATAAGTTATAATAAGTATTTATTAACACAAACATCCGATACGCTACTGAAGCAGGTAAGTCAAATTAACGTATCTAAATTCTTTGACATCTAATCTTTGACAAGTAATAAATAAAAGCTAAAATGCAAGAAAAATATATAATTTAGTTAATTTAAGTGAATTTCATAAATGATCGGTTTACTACACGTATGTATATTATATAGTCACTTACTAGCGAAAAGTTGTTCCATTGTTTCACTCAATTTTTGCCGAGATCTACCGCACGCTACACAACCAACTATTTTAGAGTCTTTTTCGATAAATGGCGATAGTGTCACTGTTAATGTAAGTTCTGCCACAATTTCCATATAGATTTACTACCTTTATACAACTATCAGTAGTAGAATAAATAATAAATAACATAAAATAATCTCCGTAAAGTCTGACAAATCCACAAAATTTCAAATCAAATTCAAATGTGTCAAATGAATCGTCAAACAGAACTGTCAGTGATCTCCACCCTAGAGTGCTTTTTCCGCCCACCATGCATGAATACATGGATAGCATTATGCTCCTTCCTTAGTCTTCTTATTCAAAGGTTGACATCAACAATAGGTTATGAATTCACGTAACATTGACATTTTTCATCGTTTTATCCACATTTGACTATCTGATGGGCAACGGCCCAGCTACGTCGAAACACCGCTTCCCATTAGAACACTGAAGTTAAACGACGTAAGGCGATACTAGTGGATGGACGGGTGATCGGTTCGAAACTCTGTATTGTGCTGTTGTCCAAAAAAAGGCAAAAGTGTAAAATCTATTGACACACACTGCTCATTCACGCCGGTTCGAGGCCGGATGAGGTCGGATATCTCGTGAGTAAGAGTCGGTTTAAACACTTGCCAAGTCGGTAGGCCATTGACCATGATATGGCCGAGGACCGCGGTTCGGATTCCGCGTAAACAAAGTAAGCCCCGTCCAAATTAGCCCTGGCAGCAAAAAGGAGACGTTAACTGAAATCTTTACTTTTTTGACTATTAGATACCTGAGAAATTGCGATGATGTGCTTAACGCGTATCCAAAACATGATCCGCACGGCAACGAGATTACCAAAATCGACTGCTTGGCATTCCGCTAATCGAATACTTTCGCTTACCGCTTTGAAAGCGTAACGTTTTTATGTCGAAGTTCCAGAATACGAGCACAGGCGGAAGCTCCAATAAGAACGGCAGTATCGAAATGACATTTTTTGAGCTCCTGAGGGTTAATTTAGGGCATTTTTTTAAATATACAGGGTGATCCAAATTGTATTTGGAAAACTTCAGCTGCATATTCTGCTGATAAAAAAAAATCGTATAAATTTATGTCCTAAAATGATTCGTTTCGGAGATAGAGGGTGTAGAAGTTTTATTTTTATTTTGGTTTTTTGCAAATAATTTTCGAACTATAATCGATATTTGGATAAAAATTGGTGTCTGAGTGTTTTTCGACATGAGAAATTTGATTTCGATGTCAATATGACTCCTATTTGTAGGGAGCGCTACCTACATGTGTTTTAACTGTTTTGTGATTTTTTGTTAACATTTCCGTGATTTTTTATTTAAAAAATATCTCTTGGTTAAAATCGCTACGAGCAACCGTTCTCAAGATATTTAGAATGGAAATAGGCAATACATGTCATTATTGACAAAAAATTAACATACTGAGTAAATAGTTATTTGACTGGAATGACAAATTTGGAAACATTTTATTTTTTTAAATTACTCATAAATTTTTCTTCGAAAAAATGACGATAAAACAGTTTCTGTCGAACTTTTTGAATAAAATCATTTCAAATTTATGATTTCAGTCTAATAACTATTCAGTCAACATGTTTAATTTATGTCAATGATGACAGGTATTTATAATTTCGATTCCAAATATTTCGAGAACAATTACTCGTAGCAATTTTTGCCAAGAGACCTTTTTACGTAAAAAACATCGTAAATGTATATATTTTTAGTCAGTAGTTTTATACAGGTACGGACGAAAAATTATTACTCTTAAAACTAATTAAAAAATATGTAGGTGGTGCCCTTTACAAGTAGGACATGAAAATCAAATTTCTCATGTCAAAAAACTCCCAGACACCAATTTTCGGAAGTAATTACCCAAGTGCATCAAAATTACCGATAATTTTTCATAAAAGCTTGTTGTCTAAAAACTGCATGAGTTTATATTCATATTTTGCCATAAGAGCCCGACTCTGAAGGAGGAGGGCTCTTCCAAAATATGAATATAAACGAATGCTGTTTTTTTTATTGACAACATGCTTAAATGAAAAATTATCAGGTAAATTTTCATGCACGAGTGTAATTCTGTAGAATATTTCCCGAATAAAAACATGAAAATACAAGTGAAAATACATAGATTTTTTAAAAACATTTATTTGAACATATTAAAAAAAAATAAAGTTAATATTATATTCTTTTTGGTATTTTTCCATTAATAGCTTGGCTGTTACATTCCAAATAGTTTTTACCATAAAATCCTTATAGTTTTGGCCGTTTTTCCTTTTCATACTAAATGCCCAATCGGTCAAAATATTGGCCAGTGCCGAGATTGAGATGTTCGCATCCAAAATGTAGTTTCTATCTTTTATAAAGTCCATAAACTGTTTCCATACATGCTGGTGATTAATTATAGTGTTTTTCGGTTTACTTTCGGCAACTTTTTCTTCAATTGCACTTAAAGAATTGTTTCCAAATCGAGACATTTTTAGAATACCGATTAAAAATAATTTACGTCTAATAATTACGTCGTAATTTTCGACTTTAGCGGGCAATTTTCGTCGAAAATTACCCGCTTCATATGGGATTTTTTGTACATGAGTGAAATATTCATCGAACTATTGATGTTACTTAAGACATACCTACATTTATAGGTACGAACTTTTTTACCTATTTTTATCTGCAGAATATGCTACCGAAGTTTCCGGAATACAGTTCGGACCACCCTGTATATTTAAAGCTTAGCCCCATCTACGAAGGTTGTCTTTTATATTTTGTATAAAAAAACATAGTCAACAACATAGGCGTCTGTCAACATATATCAAATGTCAAAACTAACTGTCATCTTTAGTTAACTTAACGCCAAAGTTTTAGTCCACTTTGGAATTTTGGAAGTTGACGAGTCAGTCGAAAAATGGATTTAAGACGAGAAAATTTACGCGCAAATTTTTTTAAGGTTTTCGAAGTCTGTTCAGTCTCAACAAGAATGCCTTGCCGAGTTGGTTTCTGTTTTCGGCTATGAAGCACCACATCAGTCGCCAATTTCTCGTTGGTATTAGCGACGATCCAAAACCAATCCACCGAAAACGGTAGTCACTCAGGAAAGCCTCGATGTTGCATATAAGCCGATCCAAGAAGATCGACATGCCACATAATATCGTGAAATTGAAGCATCGTTGGACATTTCAAAGACCTCAATTGGTGTCAAAAACTCTACACCGGGTTAACGCAGGAAACTCCAAAAATATACAGGGTGGTCCGAACTGTATTCCGGAAACTTCGGCAGCATATTCTGCAGATAAAACTAGGTAAAAAAGTTCCTCTAAATGTATGCCCTAAAATGCTTAGTTTCGGAGATACAGGGTGTAGAAATTTCATTTTTATTTCGATTTTTTCCAAATAATTTCTGAAGTAACGTCATAATTTAGATGAAAATTGGTGTCTGGGAGTTTTTTGACATGAGAAATTTGATTTTGGTGCCAATATGGCTCCTACTGGTAGAGGGCGCCACCTACATCTGTTCTAAATGTTTTGAAGCGTAATAACTTTTTGTCAGTACCTGTATGAAACTACCGAAAATATACATCTCTGTGATTTTTTACGTAAAAAATATCTCTTTGTAAAAATCGCTACTAGCAACCGTTCTCAAGATATTTAGAATGGAAATAGTCAATACATACCATTATTGACGAAAAATAAACACGTTTAGTAGATAGTTATTTCACTGAAATAATAAATTTGGGAAATTTTTATTTTTTTTTCTGCAAAAAATGATGATAAAACAGTTTTTGTTGAACATTTGGTGCAAAAACATTTCAAATTTATGATCACAGTCTAATAACTATTTAGTCAAGAGGTTTAATTTATGTCAGTTATGACAGGTGTTGATAATTTCGATTCCAAATATCTCGAAAACCATTACTCGTAGCGAATTTTACCAAAACACTTTTTTACGTAAAAAGCGCAATCGCAAATGTATATTTTCTTACTCGGTAGTTTTATACAGGTACGGACGAAAAGTTATTACTCTTCAAACCAGTTAAAAAATATGTAGGTGGCGCCCTCTACTAGTAGGAGTCATATTGACATCAAAATCAAATTTCTCATGTCAAAAAACTCCCAGACACCAATTTTAATCCAAATATTGACGTTACTGCAGAAATTATTTGGAAAAATCGAAATAAAAATGAAACTTCTACACCCTGTATCTCCGAAACTAAGCATTTTTGGACATATATCTATACGAACATTTTTACTTATTTTTCTCTGCAGAATATGCTGCCGAAGTTTCCAGAATACAGTTTGGACCACCCTGTATACAGTTTTGTCAATGGTGATGAATCCTAGATTTACTCTTATGAACCCGAAAATAAACATTAATCAGCTGTTTTGGAGTCCGAGATGAACCAAAACCGACGAAAGTTATCCATTCTCGAAGTGTTTCCAAAGAGATGGTGGCGATATTTGACTCAAAAGCAGATCATGTAGGAACAATTCTTCTGCAAGATCAAAGAACTGATACTACTGATTGGTACTGATTTTTTTTGAAAAACCAATCCTCAACGACGAGTGATGACACATCTTGAAAAATAATTGAGATTTTGAAACAAGAACACATCGAATTGTTGGACCATCCTCCTACAGTTCTTACGACTTTTTTACTTTTCCAAAAATTAAGAATGAACTGCATGGTCAAAGGCTCCAGTCCCTAGAAGATGCAGTCAGCGTCTTCAAAAACCCAATTATAAAGAAACTAACAAGCTAGTGGAATAACAAGATGCATTTCTTTTCGTGAAGAATACTTCGAAAAGTAATAGTGTTTAAATGCTATATAATGTGTTTTTTTTACCTCTATATGCAAAATATAAAAGACAACCTTTGTATAATACCTTTAGTGTTGTATTATTTAATTGATTGTTATATTTGTTTTGATTTTCCAGGAGAAGTACGACAACAACTGGTGGATAGGGCGTCTAGTGAAGGAGGGCTGCGACATCGGCTTCATCCCCTCACCTGTCAAACTAGAGAATTTGCGCCAGCAGCAGCAGAGTCGCGCGCCCAAGCTCTACTCGAGCAAGACGAGCTCGAGCTCGAACATAGGCGGCGCCGCAGCGGGTAACGAAGCTTCGAGAGGTAGCACTCCTCCCACGCCCGGTATGTCCCATCCCATTGTCGTCGTCTTCGTTGATTTTTGCGTGTATTTTTTTACTGGTAACTGACCACGAGGCCCAAGAGAATATTTTTTGTGTTGTTTTTTATTTTTCGCGGTTTTTCTTCGTTTTTTTTTTCTGGCGAGTGTTAATATCAGTATTATACAGGGTGTTGTATATTTTTGAAACGTTTTCTTGATAAAATACACTATAAATGAATTTAATCTGTTTTTAATTTCTTACTTATTTTCTATTCGGTATAAAATTGACTATTTTGATATGATTTTTAATTGTTTAGTTATTATTATTAATAATATTTCTGATTTAAGAATATGTATGTATATTTGAAAAAAGTCTATTATGTACTATGTCACAGTAATTATTGTCTTGTAAATACACTGGACTGTCCCTGTAAGAGGTTCGTATATCCGAATAAGTTTGTTTTTCCTTTTTATTTTCTAATTTTTGGTATATTTTTGACAGTTTTATTATTTTATTACGATATCCCGTCTATCCAAAAAGTCCCGAATCACTTTTTAGATAGTTCTTACTAGAATACTGTAGCTTTTACTAGTAGATTTAGCATAATATTGTGGTACTAAAAAATACTTCTTGTTTCTAGTTTTATTAAGATGAATTCGATATTATCATCTTAGAGAATTATTTTTTAATGTATAATGGTATAGAAATGTATGTTCCAAGACCAGAATTTGTAAGAATAAGGTCCAAACAAGGTATTTTTGTTTATATTATAATTAATAATGATTTTATGCAGAGTATATAAATCTGGAGAGACATTGTTTCAAAACTTGAATTACAGTGAAATTGTATATCATTTTAAATGTACATCCAAAGAGAATCACTCAAGAAGAAAATTAACTCATTCAAAATGCGTGAGTTAAGAGCTTCTTAACTCACTGATGTAGATAAAATATTTTTCTAATCTTTGAGTCCCATTTTCCGGTTGTAACTTGGAAAATCGTTACTTTCTAGAGTAAGAAAACTATCCAAACAGAAACTGCAGTATTTTCATTAACAGTACATTTTATGAAACTAATATATCTAATTATTAATTTTATGCTAAATCTACTTATTGTGAAGCTACAAGAATTCGAATAGGCAGTAGATAAATTAGTTTGAATCATCTCAAACCAAAAACACGAGCTGCTCGTTTCATCACACACTGTAAATATTTATATTACACCATTCCTTAAAGTTTACTACTATCAAAATTTGCACATTTAGTTCCTGGCTTGTCGTAGATAAACACTTTTCGCCAATCTCAAATATTTAGGAATTATTTTCAGCCATTTCCTGGAATAGTGCACGTTATTTTCGACTTTCAACCTTATGTCGACGCATTTTGAAATTATTATTAGTAAATAATTCATATAAATAACATGTTCTAAGTCATTTAAACATTATAATAGACGAAATATTTAAATATAACACAGATCATCTTAGTTTAAGTAACAGTTTTTATAGCCACTTGCAAATTTATGTATGAGATTATATAATTAATTTATTATTCTGTATTCTACTGACTTAATTAAAGCTTCATTCATAACCTCGAAATTAGTGGAATAAATTAGTGGTTTCAATTAGCGTAGTAGTTTGTTCCTTTAATTTCAATGTAAGCATTCAGAACGTCAAAATTAGTGGTATATGTTTTCATTTAGTCGAAAAAGTTATCAAACTTTTAACTTTTCCACTAATTATACTTCAAATTTTGCGAGAAATGTCATTTTGGCCTTTGATTATCTTCCGTCAAGAGAAATTGTGGTTAGAAATCAAAAGTTGATTGTTTTATAAGCTAAATATTAGGCTTTCATTGTGGATTCAACTGACTACCGCAAGCTGTTGCTAGGATATTCTATTAATTTTAATTGTGTTTTTTAAACATTGTGAATGAAACTAATAGTTAATTTTCATGTTATTTTTCATACAAGACGATAAAATGGTATTTTATCGTCGTGTATAAAACAATATTTTTTTCCATAGCGAGTTACGTTTTAAAAAATATTCAGGAATTATTATTTCAAGGAATTTATTACGAGTAGAAAAATATTGTGCTGGGTTGGCGTTGGTTTCTATGTAATTTGACAAATAAATAAAGTTGTCTCTTTAGTTGTCAGTTTTGAGTCATTATAAAACGAAATAAGTAAATTACCAACAGATATTCAGGCTGAGGCGACAAACGCCATATCCAAAATACTTCCATTTAAATCCCGAATAACTTATGAAAAGGAATACAAAAATTTTCAAAAATGGAAGAAGAAATGAAGTTTTTAACCTATCCTCGCTGTTAAAGTATCATTTAATCTACCCTTGCGGTTAAAGTAATATTTATCTGCTATTTTTGATAGATATAAGGCAATTTTAACAGTTGTTATGGAAAAAAAAGTATAAAGTCTAATTGAAATCACTAATTTATTCCGCGCAATTAGTGCGCGGTTCAGAATGAAGCTTTATACATTATAATATACCAAGTGGCAACGAAATATAAGTAGTTTAAAAGTAATATATGCACAGTGTCCAATATAAGAATGGACGCTACAGGAATCTCGTAAAGCAGAAGAGATACAAAGATTATTAAATAAGAGAAAAATTGCGCCTTGCTATTTGTATATCGGCATTCTATTTATTGATCATAAAAGTACGGAACTTACTATAATGTGATGTTCTCAAATCTTTTATGTTTTCCTAGAGCCCAATGGTTACTACTGAATTTGGGAAAATAAGAAACATTAAATAATAAAATTATATCATCTCATACAGCTCCATTTCATTTTATACTTACTATAATATCAAACTAAATTTAGGTAAAATATTTTACCTTGCCATCAGATGCTTAAAATACAGGGTGGTCCGAACTGTATTCTGAAAACTTCGGCATCATATTCTGCAGATAATACTGAAATTATAAATTTGGGAACTTTTCATTTTTTTTAAATAATCATAAATTTTTCTTCGAAAAAATTGTGGTAGAACAGTTTTTGTTGAATTTTTGACATTTATCTCATCATTTATCAGCCATCTTTAATTTATGTCAATGACGATAGGTATTGACAATTTAGATTCCAAATATCTCGAGAACCATTACACGTAACGATTATTACCACGAGACCTTTTTTTACGTAAGAAACGTCGTAAATGTATATTTATTACTCAGTAGTTTTATACAAGTACGGGCGAGAAGTTATTACTCTTCAAACCAGTTAAAAAATATGTAGGTGGCGCCATCTACAAGTAGGAGTCATATTGACATCAAAATCAAATTTCTCATGTCAAACTCCAATTTTCATCCAAATATTGACGTTACTTCAGAAATTCTTTAGAAAAAAATCGAAATAAAAATGAAACTTTTACACCCTGTATCTCCGATACTAAGCATTTTAGAACATATATTTATTCGAAGTTTTTTACTTATTTTTACCTGCAGAATATGCTGACGAAGTTACCGGAATACAGGTCGGACTACCCTGTATATTAAAATCTTATACAAAAAAAATACAATAAAATATACGATGTACTTAGACAGCCGTTAAACGATAGCCTACTAAAATGCCATTAATAGATATTGTGACGTCGTTCATGTCGGCGGAAAGTAATGCCTAGCCTTAAGCATTCTGCAAGAGCACCTGTGGGTCAGTGGCTGAGGCTATCGCTTCGTAAGCGAATGGTCCGTGGTTCAAATCTCACGCCGACCAAGACTTTTTTATATTTTTTTGCTTATAGCGTGATCTTATTGCATTGGTTTCACTCTTTTTAGTTGGATTGGTTTAGTTATTTGGCGGGTTGGTTAGCGAGGTTATTTGGAGGGTGTTAATTCATTGGTTAGTTGGTTATTTGGTGGGGTTGGTTGATTTTTACTAATCTATATTTGTTTTTTATATTTTTTATTAGTGTCGAGGTTAGTTGCGGTGGTTAAGTTGGTTATTTGGTGGGGTGGATAGCGTTGGTTAGTCCTTATAAAATTTCTATATTTCATAAAGCCGTCAAGTGCGTCACATCAACGACGTCATACCTATTAACGGCATTTTAGTAAGCTACCGTTTAACGGCAGTTTAAGTACAGCCTAAAATATATTATAAAAAAATACATTAACATGTAAGCAAGGTAAAATAATGACTTGGGTGTTTATTTAATAACCTGACAAGGAAAAAATGGAAACAAAGAACACAATAATATATAAAATAATCAAATTTTGTCAAAAAATGCATGTTTTAAGTCTATGGTATAGTTTAATTTAGCCCAGTTAGTTTATTACAGGCCAAGGTAATATAATAAAATAAAAATACCTCTAATATTTTTTAGAAAAATGCAAAACTTACTGCTTGATTGACAAAAATGCAAATTACCTTTTTTCCGTGTCTTGTTCATCACTATAATAATAAACACTCAATTCTACTTAATATAGGTTAACGTATCATTCATTTTTTCCCTGATATTAACCTCCAAATCCCTCAACAACTTACAGGCGATGAGTCTGACTCGATGGGCAACCCCAGAGGCAAGTCCCTTACCACCCCGCCAGCCAAGGAGAAGAAGAAGCCCTTTTTCAAGAAGCAGGAGACGACGGCACCGTACGACGTGGTACCATCCATGCGGCCGGTCGTACTCGTAGGGCCGTCCCTCAAAGGCTACGAGGTCACCGACATGATGCAGAAGGCGCTGTTCGATTTCCTCAAGCACCGTTTTGAAGGAAGGCAAGTATCTCAGTTTATACAGGGTGCTACAAATTCGATGTACGAGCATTGCTATCTCGGAAACCGTAATAGATACGAGAATGGTTAAATTGGGACAAAGTTGCGCCTTGAGATGTTCACCAAGATGCCATAAAAAAGGTTGTTTTTTTTTCAAAATGAATTTTATTTTTTCCTATCGTTACTTTTTAGAAAGTAAAAAAACTAATTGCACATTCTCATAGCCACTATCGATATCTGATAGTATTTTTAGATTTTCAAATTAGCTGATAATTTGTGATATACAGAGGCCAACTTAATTTTTTTTAAATACGGACCTGCATTTTTTATTTCATGTTTTGAAAGAACTCGATCTCTCGAGTATAATGATGTGCTACACTTAATATTTTTTTTGTTTTGGGTACCTTAACAACAAAACTATTTAATTATTATTTAAAATAATTTCAAGACCGACTCGGACTTTTTAAATTATTTCATCTGATTATATTCATCGCAACAATATTGATCAGCACTAATTAACATTGAATTAGGAAAATCGAGCCAATTGAAAGATTTAAATAAGTAATATCCAGGTCAGCAATTTAAAGATATTATTTTTATTTTTATTGTGTGTTCGAAAGGGTTACCACCCTCTCTATTGTACCGGGTGTCCCACTAAGAATAGCTCTCGGCTGTATCTCAGAAAGTATTAGCCGTAGGGCTTACGGAAAAAAATATTTAAAACTAAAGGGGCCATGAGAAATTGCTGGAAATTATTTTCAAGTTTGTAAAACGGCCGCTAGGTGGCGCAACTGCAACAAAAAATAAGAAAATGGAGTTTTTGCACAATTTTGCCTAGATAATGGGTACTATAAATAATAGCTTCATAATCTTCAGTAAATTTTGAATTTTCTTCGTTAGGGCCATTTTCTGCTATCTGCTAAAATAAAGTGGTGGGGGAAGGTTAGATCTATCTTTATTTAAATGTTAATACCTCCGGACTGGAGGATCAGAATCCAACAAGCGAGGGCTCGTTTAAAAGAGCGTTTCTATATTATACCATAAAAATAGTAATAATAAGGTTTTGAACGTAGACGCTAGGGGGCGCTTTCTTACAATTTAACAAATATAGCGCGTTTTTTCAAAAAAAAATACGATAGTATGTGTTATTTTAGCTGATAGTAAAGAGTAGTATAAGCTTAAAAAATCAGCGAAAACCACATCTTGATATCTTCTTTCAAACCGAAGATATTAGCAAAATGATAATAAATACCAAAAAATAAGCCCTTAATTACCTTATTTTTACAACACGGTATCAGTAGCCCTCTTGATTATGCCCATTCTTACCTAAAAATAAGATAGAAACAGTTAGATTATTTTAAAATCGACGATATACCCGAATATCATAATATCAGATGTATTAATATCTAATAATTAAGATATTAATAACAGTGAACAAGAAACGATGATTCAGTGAAGTCATGGTAGGCTTTGGAAAAAAGTTGCTTTTCACGTAATAGTATAAATGTCAAATTGTTATTAGGTCAACATTTTGATAGTCTTAGCAGCTTTTTTCTATTTTTTAAATGCTTTATTATTTGAAGTAGTTGAAGTTGTTGGCATTTTGAAAAAGCAATCAAAAGATAAAAAACGCTGCTGAGACTATCAAAATGTTGATCTAATAACAATTTGACGTTTATACTATTACGTCAAAACCAACTTTTTTCCAATGCCTACCATGACTTCACTGAATCATCGTTTCTTTTTCAGTATTATTAATATCATAATTATTAGATATTAATACATCTGATATTATGATATTCGGGTATATCGTTGATTTTTAAATAAACTAACTGTTTCTATCTTATTTTTAGGTTAGAATGTGCATAATCAAGAGGGCTACTGATACCGTGTTGTAAAAATAAGGTAATTAAGGGTTTATTTTTTGGTATTTATTATAATTCTGCTAATATCTTCGGTTTGAAAGAAGATATCAAGATGCGGTTTTCACTGACTTTTTAAGCTTTTACTACTCTTTACTATCAGCTAAAATTACATATACTATTGCATTTAATTTTTTGGAAAAAACGCGCAATGTTTGTTAAATTGTAAGACAACGCCACCTAGCGTCTACGTTCAAAAGCTTATTATTATTGTTTATATGGTGCAATATAGAGTAAGAAACGCTCTTTTAAACGAGCCCTCGCTTGTTGGAGTCCGATCGTCCAGTCCAGAGTTATTAATATTCAAATAAAAGCAGATCTAACCTCCCCCCACCACTTTATTTTGGTAGATAGGGGAAAATGACTCTGACAAAAAATATTCAAAATTTACTGGAGATTATGAAGCTGTTACTTGTAATACACCTTATCTAGACAAAATTGTGTAAAAATTCCATTTTCTTATTTTTTGTTGCAGTTGCGCCCCCTAGCGGTCGTTCTACAAACTTGAAAATAATTTCCATTAATTTTCCATAGCCTCTTTAGTTAAAAATATTTTTTTCTGCAGCCGCTACGGCTAATACTTTCCGAGATACAGCCGAGAGCTATTCTTAGTGGGACACCCTGTACAAATATAATTTTTGTTCAATTTTATTTACAGCTCTTTGAACAGATCTTCTTCTTATACTTCCGAATACATTAGTACTCCAGTAGTATATGTTTAGTAATATATGTTTAGTACGATCCTTGTAGCATAAGACTCATTGTTATCTAAGACGAGATTGTATACAAACTTTATTGATGGTAACTTTATTGGTGTATAAGACTTTCTTCCTGGGCAGCGAGTATTAACTATAAACTGTGCTCTGGGTCTATTTAATTTTCCCTCGATTTTTCCTCCACTTGACTTCAAAAGACACAAAACACATGTAATCACACGAACCAAAATGCATCATCTTCCAAAACGCAGATGTTTGACTTAAGTTGACACAAAATTATAACCTATAATTTGGGAAGACAAAAAAAAGCAAAAATAAAAAAAAAATAAAAATAAGCCTCAAAAATCTAAAGGCGAGTTGATACGCATCGACGTCCGTTTGTCGTTCATCGTTCCGTCAAACCAATAAAATTGAAATCTGTCATTTTTGAAATAAACCAATAAAACTGGTTAAAAACAACAAGAGAAGACGTATGACGGATTTATATTTAAACCCATCCATAGTTAACTTTAAAAATATTAGAAACTTTTTTAGTAAAATAAATAGATTGGTATGGGACGTCATCTGTTTTTCTTCAGTCATCGTCTGTCGAAATCTTACCTGAGAAAAAAAAACAGAGTATACCGAGATACTTCGTACCTCGAATTTGTAGCACCCGGTATACAGCCCGATATGTTTAGGAGTGTCACGTTATTTTCCCCTTCCATGTTAATCATTATGGTTAATTTGTGTTTTATTTTGCTGTTGTAACACAAAAATGTTCCAACCTCAATTCTTTACTGCTTGGCAATCAGTGATGACAACTTAAAGACGCACAACTAAATAACGTTTTCTTTTTCTTTCAGGATCATTATAACCAGGGTAATGGCTGACATCTCGTTGGCCAAGCGATCGTTGCTGAACAACCCTTCGAAAAGGGCCATCATGGAACGGTCGAACGCTCGCGCATCGTGCCTTTCCGAGGTGCAGGCCGAGATCGAAAGGATATTCGAATTGGCCACAACGATGCAGCTGGTCGTGCTGGACTGTGATACGATCAATCATCCCTCCCAGCTAGCCAAGACGTCGCTGGCTCCCTGCGTAGTTTATCTAAAAATTAGTAGTCCAAAGGTAAGAAGATGCGTAGGTACCCTAGATCATATATACTTACGTGGATAAGTATATCACTATGGAAACTGTCGCAAACATATCAACGACTTCCATTTATCTTCATTTTTTGTTGCACATGCGGTGCTTCTACTCTATCTATCCTTGTCGAGGACCTATCGCCTGCGCGCCAAATTTGAACATTAATTTTGTAAATTTAATTTGTAACATGCTTATATTTGAACAATAAATTGAATGTTTACTGTCATAAAAATTAAATTATATATAATAAACATTTAGCCACTCCGTACGAATATCAATTTTCTTAGGAAATTTCAGCAGAAAGTATGCATGTGGCTTAATATAAATAAAAGAACAACTGAATATTTTACTTGCCTATGAAAAGATAATTCGGGGACCTTTATATTAGAATTTTCACACACTAAACACTTTCTAGTCATTTTTACAAGTATTTAGAAAGTCCAACGAAAAAAAAATAGAAATATAGTTGCACAAACTTAAAATTAACTTCTCACTGCACACGCTTGCATCCTTGGCTATATAAAAGCGGTCGATAAAAGAGTAATTAATTAATACAATTTTTAAATTAAAAAATGCAAAAAGCAAGCGTCGTTACACAATGGAAATAAGATTATGACATATGATTATGACAATATGATGACAATGAAAAGTTGGCTTCCATAACAATGTATAATTTGTACTTTCTAAACCATATAAAATTATGATTATTTGGGAAATACGTGCAATTTCTAATGCGCATGGGGGCGCAAAGTAAGGTCCTCGAGAAAGATAAACCTATTGAACGCTTCATAAGTGCAATAAAGAAGGTTTGAAAATGGCATGTCGTAATGTTGGAGACATATTTTTTAATGCTAAACTTATGGCGTTGCACTAGTTCTTAATTTTCGCACTAACTTCATATGGGATAATGTATCAACCTTTGTATCAACCATTCCCTTTGCTACTTTCCCCGTTCTACAAGTTGATGTTATTAGATTTTCACTCTGACGATTTGTTTATAATATATTTTTAATTTCAGGTGTTACAAAGATTAATAAAATCGAGAGGGAAGAGCCAAGCTCGGCACCTGAACGTTCAAATGGTGGCGGCCGAGAAACTAGCTCAATGTCCCACCGAAATGTTCGACGTCGTTTTGGACGAGAACCAATTAGAAGAAGCCTGTGAACATATAGCAGAATATTTAGAAGTAATTTAACTCTATAATACCTAGGGTCAATGCATTGGTTCTCGGCCTTTTAAGGGAAACTTTGACTTTGAAAGCAAATTAGATATGGAAGGAGGTTTTAAATCATAATTTGCCCAATACAAAAAATGTTCGGTAGAGTGTTTTAATAATTATGGATTTTTTTTTAAATTTTTATTTTCAAAACTTTAGTAAAAAATCAATAATAACCGAAAAAAGTGCTATTTTACTGGTTCTTGGCCACCACTCACAGTTCTCGGCCAATTTTGTATTGGTTCTCGGCCATGTAGGTATACCTGGAATATAGGTAGGATGCCTTACTATGATTCTGCGTACCTAATTAAGAACCAATTAATTTATGAAGGTATCAATAAAAAAACTTTAATTAAAAAACTTATATGTATGTATGGCAGGAATATTAGTAATACAATAATAGCAATAGGCTCCTTAAAACCTAAATAGACTATAAACATTAGGTACCGGTTAAATACCTATAACCATAGCTATCTAATTTTCTGAAGCTATTCTTTACAGAGTTCCTAAATCTGTCAGATTTTGATAAAATTTCGTCAAACACGCTACAAAAATTAATTTTTGTCACCGAGCAATTTAGATTTTCGGGTTTGTTCTGCCACTTACAAACTGTTTTTTCCATTCCGATTTCATCGGTTTGAAGACGCTAACGTCAGCAGGCTGGAGCATGTGGGTGATGTTAGGTGGAAGAGCATATAAAATTATTTCATTATTGTGGTACCACTCACTAATTGTCATAGTGAGATGGGATTTATGCCCATCCACAAACAGGCCTCGGAATATTTTCTGTAATCGGCCATTTGTTAAAATCATTATTGATAAACTCAAAAAATACGTCAGATGTCATCCATCCTCTTTCTGACTTTCCTAATACCCAACCGCTCGGCATATTGGCAATAACAGCCCTGGGAAGTCGCACATAAGGGAATAACAGAAGTGGAGGAGCAAATTTTCCTTCGGCGTTGAATATAATTCGGGCTTCCTCAGAAGATCGGGTACTCTTCCTTTGATTCTATCCTGGATCGTCGCCCTTGGTACATTAAATCTTTGACTGGCCTCCCTTATTTTTATTTTGTTTTCCCGGATCTCACGCAGAGCATTCTTGAGATCTTTCTTTGTGTATTGGTACATCCTTGGTACTTTAGGTCGTATCAAGACGGTTTTATTACCCTGGGTTTTATTTCTCCTAGTTTCCCTAGCCACTGAAAAAAATCAAAAGGATTAGAGTTGGTTAGCGGCCGAGAACCGAAATCTACAGTGATCTTGGTTCTCGGCCACACTATTTTTCATGGTGGCCGAGAAACGCTAGTTCTCGGTCACTATTTTTAAACATAATTTTTGATTAAATTATATTTTATATTCGAATTAATTTAGCGGCCGCAATCTAATAATTAAAAAGCAATAATATAAGTAAATAAAAAAATAACAAACACAAAAAAAAATATGTGTTTTTATAGTTTTTTTAAGATTGAAAAATAACTTTTTATACTGACTCTCGGCCATGTTGGCCGAGAACTAAAAGATCGTGTTTTTTAATTACTGGTTTGCGGCCACTGAAAATTTTAACTAAAAACCCAACTTTTGCTTAGTTTTGACATATATTTACATGTTTTTACCCTTCCCCCATCATATATAATACATTACAAGTACCTAGAGTAAAAAAATAATAAAATACTTACTATTTTGTAGCTTCACACTAGTAAGCAAATTTACATTTGAAACACTACCTATGTTGTTCTGTTGTGTGTCCAAGAACTGTGGATTTTTCGCACGCTTATTAGTTGCAGCTCCATCTTAACCATTAATAAAATCGAGAGGGAAGAGCCAAGCTCGGCACCTGAACGTTCAAATGGTGGCGGCCGAGAAACTAGCTCAATGTCCCACCGAAATGTTCGACGTCGTTTTGGACGAGAACCAATTAGAAGAAGCCTGTGAACATATAGCAGAATATTTAGAAGTAATTTAACTCTATAATACCTACCATACGATCGAAAAAAAGATTGTCTTTACAAGAGGAAAAACTTTTTTGTTATTGACATTTTGAGAAAAATGCATTCTTCATAAAAAAATTTGCTGGTTCTATAATAGTTAATCCCGTTTATACTTTTCCAAATTTCCATACCGTTTTAGATAAAATTAAAAAAAAATGAAAATATGGTTGAATTTTTCCCTGGCTGAAAGTCCCAAAAATCAAAAGGCATTTCTATGGTAATTTGATTTCGATTTCATTCTTTGATAGATGGTTATTATTAATTTTAAGTAACGCCATATTTTTGCTGTTGTTAAAGTATCACATAAAAGAAACAAGTTTAGATTGGAAAGTGCCCATAAGGACAATGTAAATACTATTTGGCGCTATTCTAACGGTCGCTCTCCAAAGCTTTTGACAATTTCGGAGCGTTCGGCTTTTTCCGGAATTATGTCGCCAAATATTTATTCCAATTTATTATTATTTTCTTTTAATTTTTTAAATAAAATACAGTCTGTTCCATATAAGAAGCTTTATTTTGTATAAGGACATGTATGAAATACCTATGAAACCAAAAAAATACCAGAAAATCACCACGATGGTTTTTGCAATTCACAGCTTTTTAAGTTTTTAATACCACTTTTTCACAATTATCACGGGTTTGAGTAAATAAAATTTAAATTAAACTCACAAGATAGCAATAATTACTTTGAAAACGGACGCTTTAAACGCTTTTCGGTATTTTTTTAACGAGGGCGGTTTGAATTATGAAAGATTTCATAATTTTTGAAGATTCTGACTTTGATAAGAGAAAATTATTTCTGTTCTTGTTTAAGCAACATTTTTTTGAGACTAATATTATTTTAGGCTTATTGGAGAGCTACTCACCCAGATGTTCCAAATGTACAAAGACCTATTGGTTCCTCACCCCAAGCATCTCCCAGCGGAGATCAAGGAAGACCGACGCTACCAGGTATGTACCAATCTTAATTCTTATATACGAGTATATTGTAATTATAAATTTACATAGGTATAAAAAGGTCATATAAAACATATATTTCCATTGTTATACATTAAAAAAACTAGAGCAGGGTGTTTTTGAAATTGTCGTAGTCTTTCATAAAGTGCATCATAATCCCATAACAAAATGTTAAATTACTTATGTTACTAATTACAAAGTTAAATAGAGGACATTGTTTTATTCAATGCAAATGTGCCACTATTTTGTTATAAGGTGATTTTGGAAATAAAGATTATTATATTGATAAAAACGAGTTTCTGTTAATGCAGTGTTAGAACCTAATAAATAAATTATCATTAACGGTAAAATTGGCATGTACATTCACAGGTCACATGCATACCTGTGTATGTGAATTCATGTGGTACCCACCAAGCAAAAAATCTCATATTACATTTGCAACATTGTAATGTTGATTTCTCATCGTTGTGTCTTGGTTGATCAAAGCTTAAATCACCACAATACACTTTTACTTTTACACTGGACGCGCGTTTCGCTAACCATGTTAGAATCATCAGCAGATGATTATAAACTAAAATACAATATACAATTGAAGCGTCTATATACTCGCTTAGTGGGCACAGAGTGGGCGTGGCAAGATCTAGCCAACCGAGTCAGAACCCACCGAGCGTAGCAGTTAGATTTCCGCCATCTAGAGTAGTAGAAACAAAGAACTTGAAGAAAATGGACCGTTGTCTCTGTTTAGAAATTTCATAGATACCCGACCTTTCCAGTAGAGGTGTTTTATCCTTTGGATTACTTAATAATTGTTGTAATTTATTATTAGCACTATACACAAGTTTATAATTGACATTCTTAAAAATTCCTTTTAGACCACGGGATAACTGTCTATCAAACGGTATTGAAAAATACTTTGACGTATCTTTCTCCACTTGAAAAGTCGAATTTTCAGAAATCATTAACCTATACCTACGTTTTCTAATTATTTTATCAACTAGTAAAGGAGAATATCCATTACACTCAGCTACATTCCTAATGTAATCTCTTCCTATTTCATATCTTTCGTTGGAAAGTGGAAAACTAAGTAATCTATGAACTAAGAAATTTAAACTTGCCATTTTATGTTCAATACTATGATATGATTCATTAGGAATATATCTGCGTGTGTATTGGTATTTTTTGTGAGTGGTATTTTTTCTATAGATATCAAATTCCAGGCAATTATTAGTATTTCTAATAACTGTGACAAAGAGTCTCTAGTAACTCTAGGCAACGTTGATTACTAAATGTTTTTTACCTTTTCATTTATTGAAGAGTAATTATAAAAATTATTTTTTAATATTTAATTTTCCATTAATGAAACTACTTTTTTTCATGCGAACATTAGCAATGTTGTAGGAACATAGCAATAATAAAGCAGTAATAGGTTATAATCAACTAGAAAGGTGAATGGATATTAAAAGTTTCTCCACTTTTGGCCGGTACTTAGGTACAATATAAATTTACCAATATTGTATTGGCGAAATACATTAACAATATTGATAAAATATATCGAAATAGAACTTTCCTCAGCGGTACCTTATTATAATTATTTTCTAGCAATGTTCAATAATATTGTGAAATATTTTTACAAGGTTGTTACAAGTTTTTAAATAACCTTGCACCAACATTTTTTCTTCAACCTTGCTGCGAGGAATATGAAGAAACCCTGCTACCTTCTGCATATAACCTCCCAGCAATGAAAAAGGCAATGTTGTACCTCGTTTTGCGAAATTTCGAAAATGTTCCAGCAATAAAATTTTGCTTGTTGGGTACTGTGTTTACTTAGTACCTGTGCTTAGTACATTGAGGTTTTGTTTAGGTTAGGTTAATATGGGTTTAAAATTAAACTAGCCAAACAAGAAAGGAATATCATCGGTTTTCAAATTGTTTTTATCAATATAATACAAAAATAAAACGACTAACAAAGTATATATTTCGTATGAGAAGCACAAATACAGGATATGTGAATACATTCTATAAACATACACAGAGATAAGCATATATGAACAAAGTACTAACAAAGTAGTAGTGGCATTTCATAATCATATGTAGACTAACCTCATCTTAACATAGCCAGTACTAACCACTAACCTGTCTTCTTTCTAGCACACCACGACCTTTACGGTTACCCGCATCCGGAGTCTAGAGGTAGTCAGCCCGGTGTTAGATATATAGGATTGCAAAGTTGGGACTCTGTAGACTCTCTAGAATCACTATCTTTTTTATAAAGACACTTGCATGCCTTTGGTCATAGAGTTAATAGTACTATAGAGATGGTATTAGTTCAGAATCTATATTTGTGTAAATTCCAACACGTATAGGCTAGTTAGTTAGCAGCAAAAAAGAGACATTAACTTAAAATTCTTTTAATGAAAGCTATGAATAAATAACCTGAGGAAGGCAACATTTTAATACAAATACATTTATTTTAATACATTTTACTTGGATTATAACTGTAACACATATCTATAATAAAATTCAAGTGTTTTCAATAGATTTTGGCATATTTTTGTGAACGTGCCATCTCTCTATTATTTCATACTCTATGATTTTGAAGATACTTATTAATTTATTTAGTTTTGTGCATTTGGATACGAGAACTGGCTTGCGCATCATTCGTTTCATTTTATTTTAGATCGTTTAGCTCGAAAATTGCTTTGTTTTATTTTTGAAACTGATTTCTTTTATCGATATAGTTTATAAATAAATTGTTATTATGTACTTTGGTAACTGATATTCAGTAAACTTTACTAAGATAAAAGATATTAAGATTAATAATATATAAGTGTTACCTAACTTTACTAGTATAACGTGATTCTTCTTTTTCAAATGAAGTTTTGGATATAAGTTCACAGATAAGGATTAAAACAATATTTTTTTATTTTAAAAGATGATAAAGTATATTAAGTGTTTTTTTAATTAATGATAAAAGAAATTCAATAACAGTTATTTCCATGTAAAAGTTCTATTGGTCTACATATTTTTGTCTTTTTCATGGAAGTATATTTTTTAAGAGTACGACTGCGGTGATATACAATATATCAACTTCAAGATGCACCGAACGCAACAAATACATGAAGCATACATGTGAATAGTCGTACTATAGTAGTATCATATTATATAACTGCAATATTACTGTATTAATATCATAGTAGTACAGCAATAGTAGTAGTATTGTTCAATAAAGAAATAAGAAGATGCGCAATCTTATGGGCGATTTCGTGGCACAAAATATGTCCTAGGCGTAGCTAGGCGTTACCGTCAGCATGTCCGAGATTTAGTTTAACTCTACGCCGCCGCTGCGCGCTGATAGTCGTTTACAGCGCAGAGGATAAAGAACCGTAGTTCTGCTTTCAGTTGACAGAGTGGGTGTTTGTCGGAGACAGTGTTGCCAGAACTACGGATTAATCCGCAGATAAAAGTTTTCATTGCCCAGAGTCCATAGCGGGCAATATAATTATTATAAAAAAATATGATATATTCTTTTACAAGAAATAAAAAAAAATGAAAGATAGAAATATTTTATATACAGGGTCTCTCAGAAATGAATGCAAGTATTTTAACTGGTAGTATATTTCAATCCTAGAAACACGCCAACGAGTTTTTTTGCGAAAAATTTTTCTTGACATTTTCCGGGAAATTTTAAAAAAACTTTTTAGTGACACTTATTTATTCACCTGAGATTTCTCTACGGTGTATCTAAACCTTGCAGTGTTGCAACTTCCTATGTTATCCACACAAAAAAATAGGAATGTTAAATTTAATCTTTTATCAGTGCTCATTACTAATAATTCTAGAAAAAAATACACATTAATTATTTTTAGTACTTACCCTTTCAATGAAAACTTAATAAAAACCACCGAATATTAACTTAAACATTACCTTTATGAAGTTTACGAAAATGTTTGTTATGCTGCAAAATAACTCTATTTTGGAATAAATTTAATAAGATTCATCATAATACATGTTCACTCAACAATTTTAAATACGTATTTTGTTTTTTCACTATTTTTCGATGTATTTCGACAATTCCATCGACAACCAACCGTCTACCAACAGTGCCGCGTGTCAACTGGTTCTTTGTACTTTGAGAGGCCGCGCCGCGCCGCCCGTATCAAGCTTGCGTCGTGCAACGATATTAAGCGAGGTTGCCGTAGTTTCAACAATTTCAAATTCAAGACATTCGAAGCAATCAAATTCGTATTAAATTTTAAGAATAAAACAGAGAAACATGAAAGGAAACAAACAAAAATGAATTGATTATTGATAAGGTCACAAAAAAGAAATTTCTAAATTGTTTATCGTAATTCAGAATTCAATATATCGAAAACAGCCCGACGAATAATTAAATCATTTTTGCTTTGTTTGTTTCCTTTCATGTTTCTCTGTTTTATTTTTAAAATTTAATACGAATTTGATTGCATTGAATGGCTTGAATATGAAATTGTTGTAACTACGGCAACGTCGCTTAATATCCTCGTATGACGCAAGCTCGACTCGCCGCGCCGGCGAGGCGCGGTTTCTCAAAGAACAAACGACTAAAGGACCAGTAAGACCAGTTGACAAACTCACTCTTGGCGGATGGTTGTGCTGTCGATGGCATTGTCGAAATATATCAACATCAACAACATAACGTATTTAAAATTGTTGAGTGAAACATGTATTTTCTTAGATTGAAGGTAGTTCGTAAAGTGGCGATAAGAGACAATAATTCTCAACATTTATTCATTCAGAAAGGTAGAGGTATTCAAAGTAATGTGCGATTTTCAAGGTGTTTTGTAAATCAGTGGTTCAAATTGTGATGAAGCCTATATGAAATGAATGTGTTTGAAATGGGGACTGTTCTTTTAGCAGTTATTATAATAGCATGTACAAGTAAACCAGCACAATGAAGTGTATTTTAGTTAAATGTGTATCAAAAAAGAGAACTGTTACAGTTACAACGATCTGTCATAAGTATCCTTTTTTAATGTTGGGTAAGTTTTTTTTTATTTATTTTCTGTAATAATATCACAATCTTAAAAATGTAATGCATTTTTTTAAGCATATACTTTCTTGTCCATATGGCAACACAGGGCGTCGAATTACCTGAGATCAGGGTAATTGGACTTAGTTGGCGATATCTGCCGGCGGATCTCAAAATGTTGCTATTATCTTTTTAAATTTTCAAAGTTAAATAACTCGGTTATTTTCAATTTATTTTAAAAATGGTAAAGAGAAAATATGTTTTTTTGACCAGATCTACCACCCCTTAAAATATTTGCACTTATTTCTGGGACACCCTGTATTTAGAATATTTATTTGTGTTGTTTATTCTATGTTTAACACGAAAGATTTTCCAATACATAAACGCGGATTTTTCATCCAAAGATATTTTTGTCAAACGTATTACAGATATTAAACATTTTAATCTGGCTTAAGGTGCCCAGTGGCGTAGAGGTACAGGCTCTCGTCTACCAATCTCAAGGTGTGGGTTCGATTTCCACACCCGGCATTTCATCAGCCGACTATTTTTTATTAAAATAAAAATAGTTTGGGTACCTAGGTCGACTCAGCCTTCAATGAGTACTTGGGATTCACAATTCTGAGGCAATAATAGGCGGTTGAAGCGTAGTGCTAGCCACATTACCTTCCTTGTATACCGAACGGCTCTAGTATAGCAAGCTGTACCTCTTGCTACTCCCAAGGCGCCAAACGCTATATACGGGAGCTATTATTATAATCTGGCAACACTGTCGCTTTCAGTTCCACACTGACTTCGAAATGCCTTCGCTAGCCGAATTAGAGAAAGTAAGTGTTTTATGCGTTGGCCGCAGAACGATTTGTGGCTCCACCGTATAGCACTTGAGACGTAAGGAGAAATCAAGTCAGCCTTGTCAAGAATTCGCCCATTATGTTGCGTATCTTTCCAATTCTTTCAATCAACGGTAGCATAGTAGTTATACTAATATTTTATCACTTCTGACGCTCACGACAACTGGACGCCTTAATTTTTTTATTGTACCGTATGATCGAAAAAAAAGCGGCGTCAGCAATAGCTATGAAATGAAGATCGCCGTCATTTTATATGTAAAATTATATGGGGAATGTCAACGTTCGTCATTTCTAAGCCAACTGGACGCCGTTTTTTCGATCGTGCGGTATTTTAAAATTCAATATACTGACATTTAATGATTTTTATGACTTTTTAAGCAATTTGTAGCTAAATTATTTGACTTTTTAGCTTCTTTTCAAATTAAAAATTACTCCCATGAGTCTCATGTGCATGGTTCATGTATTTATTTGCGTTTTGTACATTTTGGCGTTGCGTAAACTTTAAAGATTTAACTGAGAAATAAAGAAATCAGTCCATGATTCGTGACATATAAATAAGTAGAGCTTAATGACAAAGTTTCAGCATTTGTAACATAGAAATAATATAAATAAGACTTTTTAATAGATATAACAATTGAAATTCTGCTATTATTCCTCACTTTCTAATAAAAAGTTTTATTTAAGTATGCATTTGGTACTTATACTATAGCCATATAATCAACTAATGATACTAATATTTTTATAACCACTCACAAGAAAGAACCTTTTTTTGTTTGTTTCATCTATTATCATGTAGATCATGTATAGGTTTAGAAGAGATTGTACTTGAAAGGTCCAAGTTGGTTGTAATAAATTTGTTTTAAAAAAATATTATTTTTTCATTTTTAGACACTTAGTTACATCCAAAAGTATACTAGTTATGATTATTTTGTATTATTTTTTTTTGACGTAGCATTTAACAGTCATTTAAAAATAGTTTTATCTTTTTACCTTTTTCGCGGTAAGTTTTTTGCAACTGGAAGAAGATCTACAAAATAAAATAGTATTTTTTAAAAACAAAAACGTTGAATCCAAAGGTAAACCTATTTGTCAGTGTTTTTAGTAGTAAAATAAATGTGCTTAAAGAAAAAAAAACATGCATAAAGTTTTGAAGAGGTAAAAATCAAAAGCAAAAAGAAATAAAAAAACTATTCAAGAACACTTTATTTTTAGCAGGTACGTCTATTATGATGATGATGATATTATGATCATATTCAAATCTAGAATGCCACTTTATCTAAAGAAGAAAACATTCTACCAATGTGTATAACCAGTCAGGACCTATGCATGCTAAA